CCTTCCTTTCTTTTGTTTTTTTGGGACAGGGTCTCACTATGTAGCCCAGGCTGGCCTTGAACTCAGCAATCCTTCTGCCTCAGCCTCCCGAGTGCTGCAATGACAGGTGTCTGGAACTTTTTCTTGGTTTTATTTTGGTTTATTTCTTAATTTATCATTTTCTCCTCACTAGAACGCAAGCTGGACCTCAGGCAGCAGCCTCCGCGTCTCCTCACAATCGCTCCTCCAGTGTCCAGGCTGGTGTGTGAGACACAGCTTGTGTGTTGTGTTTTGAAAACTTAGGGGTGAGAGATGAGAATGAATGTGCACCACACAGCCAGGTTCATGACATACAAAATTATACATATCTAAGTTTGTAAAAGCAAAGAAAATATGTGGGAAGATCCTAAACAAAAAGCACTCAGTAGCAGAGAAAAAAATTCGTCTTTCTTCTAATAATTTTGTATTATTTAATTTAAAATAAGTGCGCATTTCTTTTTGGAATTAAAAACAATTCAAGAAATAAAATATGTGAAGAGAATGTCTCCTCAGTGCAGGAGACAAGGTGGTTATTCAGGGTGATCAGTCCAACCCCAAAGGCACAGTGCCCCACAACCCAGGACTTTCTGAGCAAGCACTGTCGGCCCAAATGCAAAGCCCCACCTGGGTCTCGAGTGACAGAAACAGGTGGGTTTCACGATGGCGCTGGGTCCTGTCCCCACAGCCCTCATCATGTGCATGCAAGTGTTCCAAACTCTGACACGCTTCTGCTCCAAGCACTTCAGATAAAGGGTACTTGAGCTGGGCAGTAATCTCTCTCATCCCGTTTCTCTGTCTCTGTCTGTCTCTCCCTCTCCTGCTCTCCTGTCTACAAGCTTAGAAGCTGACCAATATTACAGCAATCCTGTCATTCTAGTAGTTTCTTCACTAACTGATGAAAGTAACTATTTAAAGACACTACAATCACAAGTACTAAAATACCTGAAACAGCAAAAGGGATATCACTCAGTCATAGAATGAACAGTTTTCTAGTAACTTCTGAAATGCACAATGAAGACGAAACTATACATCTTGAGACATAAGCAGCTTTGGGAAGGTAACACTCTTGTGCTTAGGTCCTCACGGGTTGGTTTAACACTGATTTATGTTGCTCGTTCACACCAATGCCTCGAATACTTTTGCTCACAGTCAGGGAGGTCTTCCAGTTAAAAGACACTGAGTGTTTGGAAATCAGAAATGTCAGACCCGGGGGAAATGACCATGGCCAACCCGCGGAGCGCACTGGCAGCTAATTCAGAGCACGCTTACCTCGGCGGAAGACGGGGAGCTGAACGGCAGCGGGGGCACAGCCATCTGGTGGACGGCGTCTTCATTTCTGTGAATGGGAAAACATGCAGGATCAGGACTAGGTAATGCCAGGGTCTCAGCTCGGGTAACCAGTGCCACCTGAGCGCTTTGGTGAAAATGGTCACACAGCACCAATGAACCAAAGACATCTAAATATGGGGCTTCCAAGCATGTAAAGCTGCTTGACTTGAAGAGAGCCACTTTTTGAGGGCCACTCGGGTACCACCCCAGGACAGGGCACAGACAGGGCAGCAGCCGGCCCTGCAGGAGAGCCAGGGCCACCTGGGGGAGTGGGAGGGTGTCTGTTCCGTGTGGTGTGCATTTCCATGCAGGTATAAGTGACCTGCAGTCCACAGTTACCTCCACAGCGCTTGGCTCCTGGAACTGGGAAGGTCCCAGCCTTCTCCCTGGGTCCTCATGTGGTACGTGTGGATTGTGGGGCGCTGAGGACAGGCCACGTGGGTGTGGGGGAGTGATGGGTGCTTCATGCTGCCTCACTGCCCTAGGGCACCCCTTCACCACGGCAATGAGCACTCAGCAACTCCTAAGGGAGCCCTCTGAGGTGCTTCTTGCTGGTATCGAACACCTAAGATGTAAGGGCTGGGGACCTGGCTCAGGCTCAGGGATGGAGAGCTTGCCTAGCCTGTGTGATCCCTAGCACAACAAAACCCGCCCCCCCCCGACTTTGCCACCCTCACTCCACCTGCGCGGCGTAGTCAGACGAGCTTCTGTCTGACGGGTGGGCGTTCGGGGTCCCCCATTTCACCTCTTACTGGATGATAGCTCCTCTGCCTGCGTCACCCCGATTTGTCACTTAACACCTCAACTCAAGATGCCCAACTATTCTACTCATGCCCAGCTGCACCAGGGGCAGTCACCGCTCGAGTTCACAGCCTGTCTATGTACTCCTCCTTCTCCGCTCCCATGGTAACCCAGTCTTTTGGCTTTGGGATCTGCATTTCTAACTCCTACCTCCGGCCTCCACTAGGTGTCTTAGGAGCACCTCAGAACAAAGAAAGACTGAGCTTTTCCATGGCCTCACTGCTCCCACCTGAGTGGACACGGGCAACAGCTGCCTACTGTCAGTCAGTGATTCTCAGCCATGCCCGAAACCTCTTGTTCCCAGCTGCACTGATGACCATCAGCAGGGCTCACGATTTTACCCTTGAAACACATCTGAAGTCCTTCTACTCTCTGGCCTGTCCTGAGCTAAGGAGGGGCACCCTGTTCCATCTCCCCTGCCTGCCCTGCACTCTGAGAGTTATTTCGGCCCTGACGCCACAGCCGGTCTCTCCCAGCCGGGCTTCACCTCCTCCTGCACCGGACAAGCCTGTGGTGTTGTTCAGTGGGAGAAACCCACTCGTCAGCTGTGGGGCTCTGGGAAAATCACTTCTCAGTTCCCGGTTGCTACTGGAAAGCGGGCTGGACTAAGGAGTTCTGGGTGGGTGTAAGTCCTCCACAGGAAGGGGCAGAGCATGAAGAAATGAAGCCCAGGTGCCACTTTTCGCCTTGTCCCCCTTGGACTGTCACGAGCCAAACCAAAACAAATGGGAACCCTCAGACCTAAAGTGCCGCGGAGCACGAGGAACGGACCTGTTTCTTCTGAGAGCATCTCAGATGCCTCGAGCAGGCTGTCTCGCTAAGCACAGGTGTCGCAGGGCCACGGTCTGCACCTCAGCACCCGCTCACACCCAGTGCAGTCAGCTTCCGGGGGAGCAGTCACGTCTCCCAGGGGGAGCTCCCGCCTCAGTGTCTCCTGCACCTGCTCCGGGTCCGACACTCATGGTAGAAATTAGGCAGATGTTTTTGAGATCCCTTGCAAAGGCCACCAGCACTGACGCATTCTTGCTGAGGATCATGACCAACTGGGCCAAGTGGGCTCACACCAGCCAAGTTGGCCCTTTAAAATTTAATGTTTCCCCAGGTTAGTACGACTCCAGTGTTAACCTCACATAATGGAAAACCCGCAATTAGTCCCAGTGGAGAGAAGAAGGCTACCGCGAGAAGTTACCGCTGGTAATCCTTCACAGTCCTCACACTAGTGATTGTTTGCACACTGAGACATCAAGCCTCAGTTTCAGAGAGAGGGGACGGCGGGGGGCAGCGGGGGGAGCGCCCAGACAAGCTGGTGGCCTGGGCACCCTGACCCTCGTGCCCGGCACTTTCAGGAAGGGATGAAAAATGTTTGCTTTATGATTAATCTCTCCTTTTCAGGAAATTACCCCTCTTAGGCACTGGGGCCCCTCACAGCACAGTGGAGAACGGCTGGTGTTTTTATGATCTTCCTTAAGAGCTCTGGGTGAGACCAAGGGTGTGGATCTCGAACTGTCCCCAAACTCACGTGCTCAGGGCAGGCGATGAGCTCGTGGGTGCAACGCAAGTTCACAGCCGCACGTGCCGCTGGGGGGCGGGGCTGGCAGGGGTCGCTGGGCGTGGCCTGTGAGCACGCCCCCCAATCCCACCCCTCCCCCATTCAGCACTGCCCTTGTGGCTCCCAGGAAGTTAGCCGCTCTCGGGACTGCGTCCTCTGCCTGCCACATTCTGCCTTGGACCTGTGGACTTCGGATTAAGCAGCAAACCAAAACACCTCTGCTTTCAGTTGAGGGAGCCAGGCATTCTGTCCCAGTGACGAGAAGGTGACTGACAGAGTACTGCTTGCACCGACAGGGTGAGAGTTATTTCCAGATGATGGAGCTCTGTGTGGGGTACAGTGGTCTCCAGTCAAAGACCCAGCGGACACCTGAGACCAGAATGCCAAAGCCTACACCTAACAATAGTAATCACTAATGAAGTGGAATAATGATAACCATCGGCTGTAATGAAACATACGCATGTGGTTTCTCTCTCTTGAAAGAGCCAGGATAAATATTAACATTTTCACAGTGGTACCCTTGGGAAACTGATGTCGTGGGTCACTGAGACCTGGGTGAGGGGCAGGGACCACTGTCCTTGTCGCTGGACTAGCCATGCTCTGTGAAGACCACTTCTTCCTCCTCCTCCAAGCACCAGGATCGGATCTTCCTTCTGTGTCCCCAGCTTGGCACTGGGCACCTAGCAAGAGAGCCCAAGTTCTACGATGCTGTGAAGGAACGTGATCTTAATGCAGCAGGAGAGGACAGCAGGGCTCTCAGACCCTGCTGTGTGCTGTCCCAGCTGCTTCCAGGACTCAGTAGCAATATGCAGCCAGCAGTCAGCGCTGCCGTGTGTGAGGACAGTGCTTGGGTGCCTGCCTGGCTCATAGCCAGTCCCCAGTGGACCCTCCGTCTAACCAGAGGACACAAACAGCCCAGCTGCAGCCAGAGTGGATGGAGCAGCAGACTCCTGTCTCAGCTTGGCCCAATTTCTCTCTCCCTGGGACTCAGGTGAGGACAGAGCCACAGCGCTCAGGGCACTGCTAATCAAAATGCCCAGGGCTACATGTGTGCTCTGAAGCCGCCCTGGTGCCTTCTCTTCAGTCTTAGTTGTATGGCTCTTTCTGAAAGACACCCTTGCATTCTTATAAGATATTCTTCTTGTAAGTTAAGCTGGCTCGAGTTTAACTGGCTGAAACTCAACAATATAGCTCTCATTTTACTTTGAGTGTATATATTTATTTAGCAAATGTTTATATTATGGATGGAAAAATGAATGAAACACGATTCCTGGCTTTGATGATGCTGTGGTTTGATCTAGATGCCTTCAGAGCCTCACACATTCATGGGTGGGGCTCCTGGAAGAGGGTTGAACCATAGGGGCTGCTACAGCAGAAGTGCTGCTAGGAGGTGGGCTGGTCTGACAAGCTGGGTCAGTGGGGTGGGACGGGAAGGGTGCATTCTTGTCCCTGGTTCCTCCCTCTTTTCTCTCTCTCTCTCTCTCTCTCTCTCTCTCTCTCTGTTTCCACCATGGTGTGAGCAGATGTCCTCAACCTAGGCCCTTCCACCACCACCTTTAAGCCTGTGTCTAAGCCTGCCAACCAAGGACTGAAACCGTGAACCAAAGTAAACCTCTCCTTTAAGTTGCTGGTGTTGAGTACTGCGGCTCAGCAAGGAGGAAGTAACTAGCAGAGATGATTCAGCAGCTAGTGAGGGTGGTGGTAAGTAACCAGCAACTACACTCACAGGCTTACTACCCACATGCAGCGGCGTAGCTTTTCTCCAAGAAGATGCTCAAAACACTGCCAGTCCAGTTCCTTGTTTGCAAAATATATTTGTATTTGTCACTGCTAAGCATGATTATCAACTTGACCAGGGTAAGGGACGCCCAGCCAAGTAGTACAGCAGTTCAGTGCTGGACATGCCGCTGGGTGTCTCCAGAGATGACTGGCATGTGTGCCAAAAGCCAGGGGACCCCACCCCAACTGTGGCACACCATCCAATAGGTTCCTAGCCCAGGTGGAATGAATGGGAGGAAGAGGAATTATCCTGCATTCTGCCCCATCCTGCTTGAGTGGCTGCGTCTTTTGTGGCCGTCGCCTGTGCACAGAGGACTCGGCCTCTTCAGCCTCCAGAGGGGACTCACACCAGACCACAGGGAGCTCCCAGCCATGGGTCTCAGGCTGGTGCTACATCCTTGGTCCTTCTTTTCTATGGCTTCAAGCTTCTTGGGTGAGCAGCTGCTAATGCTCTAGTTCTCCCTGGTCACTTTGGGCTCTCCTGCTTCTGATCTCTGTATTTTCGTCAATTCTGTCTTTCTAGGGAAGCCTGCCCAATACAATATCTATGGCAAATACATTTTGCACTCTGATTTCAATTCTGCTTTGTAATAAAAATACACTCATCCTTGTTTAAAGAAGCACAAAACATGCAATGTGAATGAGTGAGAATACTGAGAACAGCCCGAGATTCTCTCTCCTGCTTTACAAACTCTGAATAGGGTGAGTTTCTCCCAGGACTGGTCTGTGGGGCTTGGTACTTTAAGGGAAGAGCTTCAGGTAAGGCCTGCCCTGATCACAAGAGCCCTGACACCTGCAGTTTTATTTCCCAGAACCTCAGCTACCTCCACCTGCCCAAGCACTAGGGGCTGAGCCCAGGGCCTTTCTGCTGCGCCACG